CCAACCGGGAATTTATATGGCGCGCGCTATAATCGGAAGTTTCCCTCTCTTATTTATGTTCTCTTGGCATTTGGTAGGAGCATCGGTCTGTTGGCCAGAACAACACTTAGGGTCTTAAAATAACTGAGGACAATTAGCTGTCTTTGTAATTACATCTGAAAATGTTTATAACTTCACCGGACGTTTTCTTAGATAACTACGTTAATGACGCTAGGATGGTCCAATACACACGACCTGATACAGTCCGTATCGGTAATAGCGCAATCTCATTAATAGAACAACATTTTATTGACGTAAAAGGTTAAAACCATCTCTCAAGACTATTGACTATTTTTATAACTTTGCATTTATATAACGACTACCCAACTTATATTTTTTAATGAATGCTGTTCAATCCTTTCCCGCAAGCGTTTTCCGCCAATCAAAAGACTTTTTTAGGAAAGTGTCCAGTGTTAGCCAGCAAAGGGACCAAAATATATATCACCTAGGCAAATTCCTAGCCATTTTTCGTAGCAGAGTACAAAATAATTTTAAATATTTTCAGTCAAGCTGAGTGAGTTTACTTTCACTGTCTGATTGGCTAACTAGATAAAAAATAAGTTGGTTGGCCACAGTTAGGCTTTGCGCACTGTAATGGCTTTCGYTGTAAGGTGTTTTTTACATGCTAACATAAATGTAAAAAAAACAACACAGCATTATAACGATCTAAAATAGTATAATGTAATCTTAGAATACTTAGATATATAGTTTGTAATGTGTAAGTAAAAAATGAGCTACATATTAAGGGGGAGGGGGGCTTTCTGAAATGTGATATTCACTTACTTTTATTCAGTGGAAATTTAAGATTTGATATTCATGATGATACAAAAACTTATGATAAAACTAAATGAAAAGACTTCTTAATTATGTATGTTGCTCACTTAAATATTACTCTCTAATAGGGTAAAATTTGTGATTCATCACACTAGAGGGAATGGGAAAATTGAGGAATGGGGGAATGGGGGAATGGGGGAATGGGAGAATGGGGGAATG